TTTTTTGGCTTTTGCATGGGACAAAAAACAAAATTTTTATGTTGAACAGGGATACCTTATATTATTGCTCTGAGATCAAGATTTTGACCTATTTGATCTGAGGGCCTAACTTTTATAAACATTTTTTTTCTTTTATGTTACTAATTTTTCAATTAAGTGTTTCATTATTGTACATAGTTAGGGAAACCTAAATTTATATTTATAAAAGGTGTCCAGGTGGTTGATTACCATGGAGCTATTGTAATCTGTAAAGTCATTAATTTCAAAGCCTTTAAGACTGTTTTCTTTCCTTGACTGAAATGCCATAAGCAGTGAGTTTTATCTCAACACCTGTAGAAATGTCAGCAGGTTCAAAGCAGGCAGAAAAAAAAAAAAAAGAGAGAGAGAGAGAGCGAGAACTTCTACATGTTAACTCTATAATTGCTGGTTTTTAAAAATAATGACCATTTCAGTTCTGAATTTTCCTTCATTTTGCCCATCTACTTATAAATGTGCACAAGAATGGGCCATAATGTATAGCCAGCAGGACTCTTAGAAAATTTGTCATGCTTTAAGTGTTAACAATGCCAATCTGTTTATCACTCTTTCAAGAGCAAAGAAAATTATATAAATTCCGTCAAGGAATGTTAGTTTTGACCTGTAATCACTGGAAACTGTAGGAGATAATAAATACTTGTTGTTCTGAGCTACTAAATCTTAGGCAATTTGTTATGCAAAAGTAAATACTAATATAGCTTCAAAAGAGAGGATGAATTATTACACTTTAATTTTCTTGTGCTCTAAATTTATTATTATTATTACTATTATATTATTATTGAAACAGGGTCTTACTCTGTCACCCAGGCTGGAGTGCAGTGGCATGCTTATGACTCACTGCAGCCTTGACCTCCCAGGCTCAAGTGATCCTCCTACCTCAGCCTATCTAGTACTTGGGCCTACAGGCATGCACCACCATGCCCAGCTAATTTTCTATTTTTTGTAGAGATGAGGTTTCACAAGGCTGGTCTTGAACTCCTGGACTCAAGTGATCCACCTGCCTCGGCCTCCCAAAGTGCTGGAATTATAGGCATGAGCCACCACACTTGGTCCTGAGTGGCTTTTAATTAGCCATCAGTGCCCATTTTGAACGTTTATTTTTGCTCCTGGAAGATTGTCAGGAATAGGCATGGAAAAGGAGTCAAACAAAAATAAACCAAGATAAGAATGTTCACAAATATTTTCACCGAGGCGTGCAGATTGAACAAAATATTAAACCAGGTGTGTGACCAAAAGTGAATTCACCACAAAATAACTTGCCTCACAGACCATATGTACGTTCTGTAGAAACCAGAGTACTCAATCCAGAAAGGCCTTCCCAGCTGTATTTGTCAAGGTTAAAAAAAATATTAGTGGCTGCATTTTGATTCTGCCAACTTCCACACTAACACAGCAGAATCACAACTCAAACTCTGGATGCAGGCGAGGACAAGCACAGACACAGTTAGCAGTGGGATCCCACCTTAGCTTGCTCCTCTCCCAGCCTTCTGTATACACAGGCCCTTCACCCTCACCCAGTCTCTAGGACATTAGGAAAACCCAGGCACCAATGGGGAGCAGTTGTGATACACAAACCCAAATCTCCACAGTCTCCAGCAGGAAGTCTTTCCTGAAGTCTGCAGCCTCGGTGCTTCCTTCAGTAGAACCCCAAGATGTGCAAACTATGACCCTACAACACTCTTCCTCCCAATAACCACAGGGCTCACTTACCCAACTCCTCATTTAGGACTTCATTCTCTCAGTAAAGGTTGTTCTCAGGGGAATATCTAAAAATTACCACCAGCTCCTTCATCTCCCTCCACTCCTTATTCTCCCTGTCACCTCAGCACTTGGGAGGTTCTGGCTCCGGAATAGGGGAACCCCTTCATCACTTCCCCACGGTCATCTTCTCTTTTCCCTGTTTCTTCCATGTGTGTTTCTGAATTATACTATTCCTGTCAGTACATAAAATTGCCTAAAAGTTAAGTATAGCCGAGTTACAGAGCTAACACTTGTGCAATTACCACCCAGGTGAAAAACAGAGACCTCTGTCAGCCCCCTCAAGCTTCTTCGCCTCCTCTCAAACAGAACCCATCCCTCTCACACAGATGTCCTGTCCACTAAGCTGACCCCTCCCCACGCCCTCTCCTATCTGACTCCTTCCCCTCTACTCCATTTGGCCTCTTTTCCCTTCCTGTCCTGATTTCCTTCCTATTTTGGCTTCTCCAGGAGCCTCCCTCATGTTCCTAGGCCAAAGCTCCAGGGCGTCTCCTCCCTTCCCCCATCCTGGGATTGGAGAATTCAGAGTTGATTCCTGGGATAAGGCCATTTCATCCTGCGAGCAGCAGAATCTCATCCAGGACACCACATTACATTTAGTCCCATCATGTCTCTTAAGGCTCCTCTGGCTGTGATGATTTCACAGAGTTTCCTTGTTTTCGATGACCTTGACATTTTTTGAGGAGTATTGATCAGGCATATTGTGGAATGTCCTTTGACTTGAATGTGGTTGGGGCTGTGGGTGTTGAGGAGGAAGAGCACAGAGATGAAATGCACTCTCAGCACATCAGGGGTACGCGGCACCCACTTGATTTATCACTGATGATGCCAGCCTTCGTCACCTGCCTGAGGTAGTGTTTCCCAGTCCCCTGTCAAATTCCTTTGTTACTTTTTGCCTTTCCATACTGTTGCCTTTCGAAGGAAGTCACTATGTGCAGCCCACAAATAAGGAATGTTCTGCTACAAAGATTTCATGTAGGTTTTCGTGCAAAGTAACTTTTCTAATTTGTTGGTTAAATACCTAGGAGTATGATCACTGTGTTGTATGGCGATCATGGTAAGTCCATGTTTGGTAAGTCTATGTTTGGTAAGTCTATGTTTAGCCTTAAAAGAAACCGCCCATATCTTCTAGAGCAGCTGTGCCATTTCCATTCCTGCCAGCAGTGGATGGGAGTTCCTGTTGCTCTTCATCCTCATCAGCACTTGGTATTACCAGATTTTTGGGTTTTAGTCATTCTAGTAGGTGTGTAATGGTGTATCATTGTTGTTTTTATTTGCATTTCCCTAATGATAAATGACATTGAGGCTCTCCTTATGTGCTCACTTGCCATCTGTAGATCTTCTTTGGTGAGGTGTCTGTTCAGACATTTGCCCATTCTTAAATTGGATAAATTGTTTTCTTATTGTTCAGTTTTAAGGGTTCTCTCTATATTCTAGATACTGATAAGTCCTTTATCAGTTTTGTGATTTGCAAATACTTTCTCCCAGTCTGTGGCCTTTATTGACATAACAACACACAGTAATGCATAAATACATGGTGTGGGAAAAGAAATAAGAAATTTTTAACTGTGAAGATTTCTGGGTAGATGATCTGAGTGACAAGCAATAGTGGTGGGGGTAGGGGAGCAATGGGAATAACTTATCTTTGCATATTTTATACTATCTTTTGAATTTTCTTGTGTGTGCATTAATAATATTCTCAGCCGAGTGCGGTGGCTCATGCCTGTAATCCCAGCACTTTGGGAGTCTGAGGCAGGCAGATCATGAGGTCAGGAGATCAAAACCATCCTGGCCAACTTGGTGAAACCCGCCTCTGCTAAAAATACAAAAATTAGTTGGGCGTGGCAGCGTGCACCTGCAGTCCCAGCTACTTGGGAGGCTGAGGCAGGAGAATTTCTTGAACCCAGGAGGCGGAGGCTGCAGTGAGCCGAGATCGTGCCACTGCACTCCAGCCTGGGTGACAGAACGGGACTCTGTCTCAAATAATAATAATAATTATAAAAATATTCTCAAAAATAAATTACATAAAAATCCCTTACACTTGTGAAACCCTTGACAGATTGTGTCCAGATCATGTGTTAAGACTCAGATTCTGATCCCCTATTCTAGGACCAATGGTATTCTAACTGAACTATTTTGCCTTGAAATTTCCATTTCTGGAAAAGGTGGTTAGATGATATGAACCAATCCTCCCACTGAAAAAGCTGAAAGTGCCATTTAAAACACAAAACTCATTTTCTTAAAGGATCAAAATGCTGAGAAGATGGTAATAAATGTCTGCACCCCACAAAGAAGGGAAAGATGCTGTTCGTCCTCATAGAGAGCAGTGGCGTCAGAAATGGAGAAAAGGCTCTGTAAGATCATTGCCCACAGCCGAGACACCGGGGCCCTGCATGTCCAGCTCTTTGCCCCATTTTCCTCACTTTGTACCCATCTATCTGTCTTCCCTTTTAAAATTTCAAACAAAGCTCTTTATTTCTGATACATTATCATATATATGTATAAGGTATTATATATAACATATATTCACTGTGGAAACATTATAAAATGCTGTCAAAGATAAATGACAAATTAAAAATAACCTGTAAACCTTACACCAGAGATATTTTGTTGCATTTCCTTTTAGTCTGTTTTGTATCCTCCTCCTGCTGCTGCCTGAGTGCTTCTCTCTTTCCGTGGATGAGCACAGACCTCAGTGATTCCAGCCCTCACTTTCCAGATGTCAGTTCACTCTCGCACCTCCTGAGGGGGCTACTTCTCACTTTATTTCCCTCCTCACACGCCTCCAATCCTGTCCCACTCCTCACTCTTAGACAATGAGGTTATTTCTTTTTTCACTCAGGAAAAAAAAAAAGGACTCGAGTGAGAAGAGCGTTATCATCCCATGACAACCCTGTCTCCACCTGTCTCCTGGGTCTTCCCACTAGTGATGACGGATGGTCCTCAGCTCCTGTCTAAGGCCACAAGATCCACCCGTCTCCCCTAGATCACTCTCCCCTCTCTACTGGCTCATTCATTTCTGCATACAAACATGCTGTAATATTTCCCATTAACACAAACAAAACTCAACTAAATAAATAAAAATAAAATCCTAACCAAAAAAAAAATTCCATTTCCTGGGCTGCCGCTGCAGAGCAGAGCCACCACCGGGAAAGAGCAGCCGCTGCCGCCCAGGACTAGGCCCTCAGGGAGGAGGAGGCAAGAAGATGGTGGATGACCCCAGTGCTGCCGACAGGAACATGGAGATCTGGAAGATGAAGAAGCTCAGTAAAAGCCTGGAGGTGGCCCGCGGCAATGGCACCAGCATGATATCACTGATTATTCCTCCTAAAGACCAGATTTCACGAGTGTCAAAAATGTTAGCAGATGAGTTTGGATCTGCATCTAACATTAAGTCACAAGTAAACTGCCTTTCAGTCCTGGGAGCCATTACATCTGTACAACAAAGACTCAGACTTTATAACAAAGTACCTCCAAATGGTCTGGTTGTTTACTGTGGAACAATAGTAACAGAAGGAGGAAAGGAAAAGAAAGTTAACGTTGATTTTGAACCTTTCAAACCAATTAATACGTCATACTATTTGTGTGACAACAAATTCCATACAGAGGCTCTTACAGCACTACTTTCAGATGACAGGAAGTTTGGATTCATTGTAATAGATGGTAGTGGTGCACTTTTTGGCACACTCCAAGGAAACACAAAAGAAGTCCTGCAAAAATTCACTGTGGATCTCCCAAAGAAACATGGTAGAGGAGGTCAGTCAGCCTTGTGTTTTGCCCGTTTAAGAATGGAAAAGCGATCTACCAATGTTCAGAAAGTAGCAGAGAACGCTGTGCAGCTGTTTATTTCTGGGGACGAAGGGAAGATTGCTAGTCTAGTTTTAGCTGGATCCACTGACTTTAAAACTGAACTAAATCACTATGATACGTTTGATCAGAGGTTACAATCGAAAGTTTTAAAATTAGTTGATAGGCCTGGCGCAGTGGCTCACGACTGTAATCCCAGCACTTTGGGAGGCCGAGGTGGGTGGATCATGAGGTCAGGAGATCAAGACCATCCTGGCTAACACGGTGAAACCCCGTCTCTACTAAAAATACAAAAACAGAGGACCCAGGGCAAGATGGCCAAATAGGAACAGCTCCAGTCTCCAGCTTCCAGTGTGAGCGACACAGAAGATGGGTGATTTCTGCATTTTCAACTGAGGTACCAGGTTCATCTCACTGGGGAGTGTCAGACAATTGGTGCTGGTCAGCTGGTGCAGCCTGACCAGTGAGAGCTGAAGCAGGGCGAGGCATCGCCTCACCTGGGAAGTACAAGGAGGAAGGGAATCCCTTTTCCTGGCCAGGGGAACTGAGACACACAACACCTGGAAAATCGGGTAACTCCCACCCTAATACTGCGCTTTACCAAGGGTCTTAGCAAACAGCACACCAGGAGATTATATCCCACACCTGGCCAGAAGGGTCCCACACCCATGGAGCCTCCCTCATTGCTAGCACAGCAGTCTGCGATCTAACTGCAAGGCAGCAGCGAGGCTGGGGGAGGGGCGCCAGCCATTGCTGAGGCTTAAGTAGGTAAACAAAGCCCCCAGGAAGCTCGAACTGGGTGAAGCCCACAGCAGCTCAAGGAGGCCTGCCCATCTCTGTAGACTCTACCTCTGGGGACAGCGCACAGCTAAACAAAAAGCAGCAGAAACCTCTGCAGATGCAAACGACCCTGTCTGACAGCTTTGAAGAGAGCAGTGGATCTCCCAACATGGAGGTTGAGATCTGAGAACAGACAGACTGCCTGCTCAAGTGGGTCCCTGACCCCTGAGTAGCCTAACTGGGAGACATCCCCCACTAGG